TCAATTTTCTCAGTTTTCTCAGTCACAGTCTGTAGCTAGAGAGAAACCCTTTTTCTCACAGGAACGGAATGTGGCTGATAAGACAGCTGGTGAAGGTCAGACTGTGCCGCAGGTGTTAAGAAGGAGTTTACGGATTGCGGCCAAATCTTGAGCCCATCCGTTGGTGGGAAAACTGCTTGTTAGCTGTCTGTTTAATGTTCAATGTTTTGATGTTTTACCTATAAGTAAACTGCCTGGGAGCTGATTCGGGGTCAGTTCCAACGTTGCAAAAATGGCTCGCTTTGTCTCCGGCTCTAGGGCTTGGGCCTTGGGGAATGCCTGCTTCATGTAACCTCATGCTATTTCCTGGATTTTATTCTGCTTCTTTGCTTCAAGTTTCCTGCTTTGACTCAAGAGAATTTATTGGACCTTTACCTTGTACTACTGAACTTTTTACTGCTTTTACTCTGATTTGTTTGAAACCTCAATAAACTTCTTTCTTCTCAAGTTTGGCTGGTTTGTCAGAGAGAGCAAGGTGAATCTTAGCCTGAGATACAACAATTGTATTCATTTCGTTATTGTTCTGAGGTCGTTTCGTTATTATTTCCACATGTCTGGGCCAGTTTTATGGTTTAATTAGTGGGAAAAAAATTATAATATCACACCAACAGTCAAGAACAGAGGGAGAGGGAAGCTTCAGAAGTTTTTGGAGGTTTTTTAGCGTATTTCGCGGTCGCGTCCGCCATTAACGAATCGATTCATTATTGTTTCGGAAATCGATTCGTTAATTTTTTACCATTTACGAAATTTCGTAAATATCGAACTTTTTAAAAGGAAAATTTTGTAATTATTTTAAATATCGAAACAAAAAAAAACCCCAAATACAAATCGATTTTAGAAACAAATTTTTGCGTTGTTACCCAGGCCTAGTATATAGAGAATACATAAATATAAAATACACATTACAAGTTATCATAATAGAATGTTACAAAACTGCTCTGTTGGGGAAGAACACAATCTAAATGGAACTAGTAGACTCTACTATCCATATAATATAAGATGACAGTCTGGGATTGCATTTTCTCTGCTAATGCCTCATTACAGGACAGGAGCGGAAATAGAATAATAGAGTTAGAAGAGACCACATGGACCCTCTAGTACAACCCCATTCTGCCATGCAGTAAAAGCACAATCAAGCCACCCCCAACAGATGGCCATCCAGCCTCTATTTAAAAGCCTCCAAGGAACTACTTCAACAAGATATGTTTTTATCGTCCTTTTCCAATTTGTGAAATACTCAAAACTGGTTCTCAAAGTGTTCCGTGAAGCCCTTGGGGCTCCATAAAGCTTACCAAGGGGCTCCATGAATCCTTGGTCCTCCTCCCTCCAACTCCAAGCTTTCCCTCCTCTTTCCTGCTCCTCTCCCTCACCAAAAGTCTTTTTTCCTCACCTTCCTTGTCGCCCAGATCCTTTCCCCCTCTCATCATTGCTTTCAAAAGCCTATTTCCCTCCCGCTGCTCAGGAGGTTCTTTAATTGTGCCACATGGCAGAAGGAGGTTGGACTGGATGGCCCCTGAGGTTTCTGCTATTCTTCTTCTTCTTCTTCTTCTTCTTATTATTATTATTATTATTAGAAATATAAAAAGATTAGTACACAACAAACAAGTTCACTGTGCTGGCTGTTGTACTGGATAACATGTTGGACACTTCCCAAGTGTCTATGACTGTGTGATGCATCAGCGAATAATGTGTGCAGATCCCGGTAGAGTGGCCTTTTGCAGCTGACAGATGGTAATTTTGTCAGTGCCGATTGTGTTTAAGTGCAGGTCAAGGTCTTTACGCACTGCACCCAGTGTGCCGAACACCACTGGCTTGTGGTAGAGTCTTTGCAGTTCAATCTTTAAATCCTTGTATTGTGTCAGCTTTTCCAGTTGTTTCTCTTCAATTTTGCTGTCACCTGGGATTGCAACATTGGCAATCCATACTTGGTTTTTTAACACGATTGTGAAGTCAGGAGTATTGTGCTCCAAAACTCTGTCAGTCTTAATTCAGACCTCCCAGAGTAGTTTGACGTGTTCATTTTCAGGCTTCTTTCGCTGCTGCTGCTGCTTCTTCCAAAGGTGAGATGGCCATTTGTTGGGGGTGCTTTGATTGTGCTTTTCCCATCTGGCAGGAGGGGGTTGGACTGGATGCCCCCTGAAGTATTCCACTGAAATGCTATTATTATTATTATTGTTATTATTATTATTATTATTATTATTACTACTACTACTACTACTACTACTACTACTTAGAGTGATAGCAAATTATGGCTGTGTCTTTTTATTATTAGCAGACTGCGTCTTTTTTTTTTCTTTTTCAAAAGGTGGCATTAGTTTTCCATCACCTGGTTTCATGTTGCCTAATAGACTTTTGTTTCTCCTCAGGCTCTTCACGCTTCCAACTGAAATGGGAAGGAGATGTGCATATTTGAACCATAAAGCTGTTGCCAGCGCCAGCTGCACAAGAGAAGAACCCTGGATCTGTAGCAAAGACGTGTTTAAAGGCAGTGCCTGAATTGCAGAAACCAAACCTTGATTTATTCTCTGTGCATGCAGTGAGGCACTTGAAAATGTAATACAACAAAATAATAACAACATTTTATTTATATCCCATCATATCTCTCCCTGGGAACTCAGGGTGGTTGTACTTCTTTTTTGCCTTACTTTCAGACTCCTGCCCCATGCAGGAGAAAGTCCTTTAAGTTTTTGCAGAACTTCTTCCAGAGAGGTGGGCAATTGATTTAAAAAAAACACTTTATTTTAAAAGTTTTAGAAGTTATTCAAATTATTCTTCAAAATTCAATATTGGCAAGTCCTTCTCTACCTTTTTTTTAAAAAAACAAATTCAAATGTCCATTCTTTTAGTAAACAGTTAATTTGTCCATCTTCTGCGATAGAGCAATCTGGCTGCTGTGATCATATATTGCCAAAGTCCATAATATTTATATCAGTCAGACCAAGCAGAGAAGTCTCAGGTTTTAACTGGATATTTTCCCTCAGATCTTTCTGGATCACCTTATGTATTTAAATGCAGTATTTCTTGGCATTTCCACCACATATGGTAGAAAGAGCCTGCTTACTGTTTACATTTCCAGCAAGTGTTGGAACCCTCTTTAGACATCTTAGAAAGCTTTTCAGGAGTTGTATACCATCCATACATCTTTTTATAAAATATCTATTTCAAATTATAACATAACATACATTTTAACTCCTTATTCCACATTTTATCTCATTGGTCCAACATTGTATTGTGACCAACATTTTGTGCCTGCTTTTCCATGCATCCTTTAATTTGCTCATCTGCCATTTCCCATTTCAATAACATTTTATACATTTTAGCATTTAAATGTTAATCATTAGCACATAAAAAGTTCAGCCAGTGCAGAATCATAGTCCAAGGCCAGTCCATTGCCGGTCACATAAAATCACTCTCTTTCTAGTTGCTACATCCACTGCTCAAATGCTTGATCCCACAGCCAAGTTTTAAGTTTTATAGGAAAGGCCAGGAGGGAGGGGGCAGACCTGATTTCATTGGGGAAAGAGTTTCACAACCAAGGAGCCACCACTGAGAAGGCCCTGTCTCTCGTCCCCATCAGATGCACTTGTGAGGGCCAAACTTCAAACACAGTTACAACTTTAAAAATTGTTGGGATGACTGGGGGGGGGGAATCTTTAAGAGGTGTCAGAGGTGTTTCCAAAGACCATCAGAAAACACAGTATTTCTGTTGGTCATGGGGGTTCTCTGTGGGAACAAAATGGCCCAATTCTATCATTGGTGGGGTTCAGAATGCTCTTTGATTGTAGGTGAACTATAATTCCCAGCAACTAAAACTTCCAAATGTCAAGGTCTATTTTCCCCAAACTCCATCAGTGTTCACATTTTGGCATATTGAGTATCTGTGCAAAGTATGGTCTAGATCCATTATTATTTGAGTCCACAGTGCTCTCTGGATGTAATTGAACTGCAACTCCAAAACTCAAGGTCAATGCTCAACAAACCCTTCCAGTATTTTCTGTTGGTCATGGGAGAACTGTGTACCAAGTTTGGTTCAATTCCATCATTGGTGAAGTTCCAAATGCTCTTTGATTGTAGGTGAACTATAAATCCTCACAACTATAATAACAGCAGTTTTTGAACTCCGAAATGACAAAATCAGCCCCCCCCCCAAACCCCACCAGAATTCAAGTTTGGGAGTATTGGGTATTTATGACAAATTTGGTCCATGATAACACATCCTGCATATCAGATATTTACATTACACTTCATAACAGTAGCAAAATGACAATTATGAAGTAGAAACGAAAATAATTTTATGGTTGGGGGTCACCACAATATGAGGAACTGTATTAAGGGGTTGCAGCATCAGGAAGGTTGAGAATCACTGATCTAAATTCTTTATTAGTCTGATTTCACAAGAACTTCCTGAGCTACAAAAACTTCTGTTATTATTGTTGCTTGTTTTACCGTTTGAAAAGTAACATATTATTGTTATTGTTCATTACAATGCTGGCAAAGTAATTCATTATATTATTGATTGTGCTACTTCTTGCTTTTTGTCACTTTTTAAAAATCTTAGTGCAAATAAATAAATGATATAGTTTGAAAACTTCCTGTCAAATGCCCCAAGAAGCCCTTTAAGTGGAGCCTCCCCAACCAAGGACCCTCAGGGTACACAAGGGTATCTAAAGGAGACCTGTCCACAAGCTATACAGGTGTGGTTTGCACATACTTTCAAATCAGACTCTTTCCATAGTAGCTGTTGCTTTAATGATATAGATAGCAAGTGTGGTGCTAGTGCTTCCTTACCTCACAAAAGCATGAATCTGACCCACAACCATAGCTCGAACTGTCAGCAACCACCAAAAAGTGAGGGAGAGCCCTTCAGTCTAGTATCCTAAACTGATTATCCATATAATGAATTCATAAATGTCTTTTGGAGTGATTGTTATAGAAGCAATGATGCATAGGTGTGCTTTTCTTTTGTGCAGACATGTTTCTATCAAACCACAAGATTATTAGTAACAACATCCTTATCTTATGTACTAGCTTTCAAGATCATATCAAGACAGTGTCCTGTTTGCAAATCCACCGGAATTCAGCGCTACACGCATCAAATATGATTTTGCTGTTCCTTATTGCTCCACAATATTGCCCTTCACCATGTTTTGGTCCTTGGATCCTACAGTAGAAAAACAGATACATTCACTCTCTAGGTTTCAAGGCTGTGGTAACTTTCCCCAGTTTTAATAAGAAGCAACCTCCCAGCTCTGCCTGAAATGCCACCTTGAAATCTTCCCTGTCCCTGGGGAACCTCTCTCCTCAACCCTTCAGCTGGAGGCACTGCAAATCTGATCTTTTTTGGTACATTCAGATTCTCTCAGCTTTAAAATCTCCATGTTTTTCTGACCATCTTGAGAGGCAGAGGTACTATGAAAAAATCGACTCACATATTTCTGTTTATTTGGGAGGCAGTAATCCACTTCAATTTCTTCTCAGGAAATGATAATGACAGTCCAATCCAGTATGAGTAATGTTTATCCTGGGTGATTATTGTTACGAAATCCTGTTTCATAAAGAGAGCAAACATTGGATACCTACACAGAACAATTGTTTCATACTGACTTTGTCAATTTTAAGACAGCCTGAAAATTCAGAGTGAGAGTGTTCCCTTCAGGTAGTTTGCAAAGTCTTCTTTGTTAAAACGTTTCCTTTCCCTGACAGGGGAAAGACATTTTGTCTTGTAAATTTATACTCAGGCAAAGTTTACTAAGGAATCTTTGGGCTTCTCTCTCTTGACTTCCAAACTGACACCATCATGTGTTTTCCATGTGTCTAAAATCTTACAAATTTTGCTTTCTCTGATGTGAATTTTTAAAATATATTTTTTAATTCCTTCATGAAGAAATCCCTGGGTTTTAGTGTGGATATGTCAAAAAAAATTAGGATGAAATTCTAATGTTTTAGCACTGGTCAGTTCACCAATTACAGCCATTACCAGAATGGAGAAGGTCATGTTTTATTTTTCTGCCATGCAGATGTTAAAAATAAAATGTTTCTTTCATTATTTTTTTTTGAAAAGTAGTAATTTTAATTCATCTCCATGATGGAGATTCAAATCTAGACTTTTAAGACTTTTGCACTCAAAAGCCCTAAGCCTAAACATAAATTTGTCAATGTCATCTCAATTTAAAAAAAAAAAGATCTTAAGTTCTTTCCATTTTATATATGAAGGAAGGAGAAAATTATGGAAAACTATTATGAAAAATGAACAGAATGAAATTTCTCACATTCTTAATCTGTTAAATGATACAGTAAACATGCCATTAACATCAGGAGAGAATGCTTCTGGAACATGACCACATACCCCGAAAAACCTACAACAACCCATGCCATTTACTGTCATTGAAGAAGCTCTCATTGATGAACTGCTCCTTGGGTCAGGATGGGAAGGGCGCTAACTGTGCGCTTTTATCTCACATCCTTCCCTGTTTGTGATCTAAAGTTGAGACTTGCTTGGAAATAAACTCTGCTCAACTTAACAGGGCTTACTTCCAAGAACATGTGGTATATAGAAATACACGTCAAGGAATGTAATGGGACAATTCATACAAATATACACATACAAATATACTTCAAGAAATATGTCATTGTTTCCTTTACCAAAATGTCCTTGTCTTGAATGACCAACAGTTGTGCATTCTTTGCTGCACAGTTATCTTTGCTGTCACTCCAATTTTTAAGAAGCATGTTTGATGGCCACCAATAGCACTTGTTCCTGTGGAGATGCCAATATGCAGGACAAACTTGGCAGGAAGAATTTACTGGAGAAAGAAGGCAGGCAGTTAATGTACTGATTTGCATGTTATTGTTTTAATGTGGGATGTTTTTAGAGAATTCAGACAAATCCACTCCCATACTGAAAGGGTACATAATGAGGTTACAAGTTGAATCATTCACCATCTGATACCTTTCCTGCTGAGTGGATCTTTAATGTTTTGAGCAATGAGATGACACACATGGATGGAGATATACTGGCTTTTTTCTCCAATTCAGTAGACCTACAAGTGAACCATGATATATCCTTTTATGGGAGTGGAGGGAATAATGGATGCATTCAAAGCAGGGGACAGGGTTGGCTAGAACAACCAGTTCAAATAATTTTCTAATGTGCAAGAGAGCTGATCACATGCGTGTGGATTGCCTTCTCTTAAAGGTGGAGTATAAGAAATTGAGCTTATAAAAGATATTCTCAAAATAGTTTTAACTGCAAACACATGTTTCTCAAACTTATTTATTTATTTGTCGTGTCAGGGCAACCAGTCAAATTATATTACATTTCTAACAGAACAAAGCAAACAAACAGACAAAATACAGAATTTGTGAGTTTGGTTCTCAAACTAATATTTATCGAAGTGTTGGTGATGACCTATAAAATCCCAGTTTAGGTCATGGCTACTTGATAAATCTTAGAAATATGGAATTATAGGTTTGAGATAGACCATTAGAGCCAGTCAGTCCAACCACATTTTGCTATGCAGAAATACACAAAGCACTCCTTATAGATGGCCATTGGACTGCTGTTTAAAAAACCTCCAGAGAAGGAACTCCCCCACACTGTCAAAGAGCTCTTATCATTAGGAAGTTTTTCCTCAGGTTTAGAAAGAATTAGCTTGTAGTTCAATTGAATCTGTTGTTATGCATCTTAGAATTAAAAGGTGGGGGTAGGATGAGGTGGGGAAAGAATGTCTTCTTTCATTTCCACTCACTAGAAAATCCCCATTATTCTTTATATGGATCACTGTGAGTTTTCTGGGCTGTATGGTCATGTTCCAGAGGCATTCTCTCCTGGCACTTCACATACATCTATGATAGGTCTCCTCAGAGGTTGTGATGTCTGTTGGAAACTAGGAAAGTGAGGTTTATATATCTGTGGAATGTCCAGGGTGGGAGGAAGAACATTTGCCTGGTGCAAGTGTGAATGTTGATTTCTGTTTGGGCACTGCATTTGGTGGTTCCTATGTAGACTCGTCCACAGCTGCATAGTATACAGAAGATCCCACTTGCCTAATTTCCAACAGACCTCACAACCTCTGAGGTTCCTGCCATAGATGTGGGCAAAATGTCATGAGAGAATGCTTCTGGAACATGGCCATACAGCCCGGAAAACTCACAGCAATTCAGTGATTCTGGCCATGAAAGCCTTCGACAACACATTCTTCATATACCTTCCCAGCATTACTTCCTAGCAATATTGCTTGTTCGCTTATGCACTCACTATCTCAATTTTCTGATAAATCATTGCTGCTCTTGTGTTTTTCCCCTCCCTTTAACTCTTCACGTGCCTCTTTGCTACAAACTGTTAAGCTACAATGAATGTATATACTTTACCATGGATTTTATTGCAGAGTCTGTTTCTTAGGTGAGATGTAAAGTTGGCCAAAGAGGTGCTGTATGTTGTCACATTGTCAAATCTGCTCCTATCTGTTCCATTTTTCTCTTTTCCAGTCTGTCCCTGCAAAACTTTCAAAACTCACACAGCTTTGTTTCTATATCATTCCTTAAAGCATTTGTTTAACATTTTATAGGTATCACAATCCAGCTGATAGCTATAAATAAATACAAACATTCCTCAAAAATTAACTAACCAGTTTTAAAAACACACACCATGTGCCAGGCATCAATGGTGAATTTAAAGGCCAAAAGCCACATAAAATAGTGAAACTTGCATGGGAAACTGTACAAGACCTGAACATCCATATAAGGGACAATCAGTATTGAATTATAAATAGTTGATTAATTTTTACGTATGGAAGGGGTCAAAATCTTATAATAAGCTGGGGTCAATGGAAATTGTCCATGTGTTGACATGCCATGCCCACTGATTCTATGGATCTACTCTAATTTGGATTAACAATAGGATAGCTATTGGTATCAGTTTAAGCAAGTGAAAATGCATGGAAGATCCCAATATGGTAATGAGGGACTCAAAAAGAAGCAGGCTATCCAAAACATTGAGCAATTAGCCAAGTAGTAAGTAAAAGAACAATATCAACTAAGTAATTGGACTTGCAGTTGGAATCCCCAGAGATGGGGTAAAGCAGATGATAGCATCATAACGATAGAAGATATCCCAGGAGCCTTCCAATGCCATTCTATTATGCAGGGACACATAATCAAAGAAACCTAATAGATGCTTTCTCAGTCCTGCTCTGATCGTAAGCCATCCATTTTACTTGGATTCATCTTTACATCAGAGAGTGAGAAAATCCATGTATAACTTAGTTTTTAGATTCTTAAGCTGAGCAGCATTCTTCTAGACTTAGATAGGTCAACAGTAGGATGTTTTGCACCTGTGTGCCATCTTTCCCCCACCTTTTCCTTTGTTCAACAGCTTGTTTTGAACAGAGACTATTCTGTGGGTTTCTACTGTTATCGTTTTCTGTCATCTTAATAAAGACACATGTGTTTTTGCCCCTAAATCAACTTGTCCGCAACCCAAGTTTCCCTTGGTGGTGTATAGCAAAAAACAAAACAAAAAAAAAAACCCACCCCTAGAAGTTTTTTTTTAAAGACAACTTTATTTTGTTAAATTTGGAGGTGTTGAAGACTTTAAAATGTTGGAAGGGCATGCTTGGAGAGCCACTTGGCTTCTGTGCACTTAGCTTACCCATCCATATATTAAACCATATGGAGCCCCCGGTGGTGCAGTGGGTTAAACCCCTGTGCTGGCAGGACTGAAGACCGACAGGTCGCAGGTTCGAATCCGGGGAGAGGCGGATGAGCTCCCTGTATCAGCCCCAGCTCCTCATGTGAGGACATGAGAGAAGCCTCCCACAAGGATTATAAAATTTTAAAAAATCATCCGGGTGTCCCCTGGGCAACGTCCTTGCAGATGGCCAATTCTCTCACACCAGAAGCGACATGCAGTTTCTCAAGTCACTCCTGACACACATAAAAAAGGAAATCATATCATACTATACTCTGTATGTATGGAAAATTTATATTTCTAATACTCACCTAAAGCTATGACAGCTGCTAGCAGGAGGACAATCACAAAGGATGCTGCCCATAGGATGATCTGGTAGCAACGGGGAGAGCAGGGAACATCTGTGAAGAATGACAGCTGATTTAAGGTGGTGGTTATGGTTATGTGAGTCAGGATGCTATTGTTAGGGCATGTAAAAAAAATCAGTTGGTGAATGTGTTAACTGAAAATGCAAAGCACAAAGCTAATTGATTGGGCTATGCCCAGGAGACTAGTTGAGCCTGAAAGTTTTGGCAACAGTTACATTTTTAGGTTTGAGCTGTCCAGGAGCTAGCACGGAGAGACAGTTTGAGTTCTTGCTTCATGAGCTGCTAGAATGAGATCTTCCACATGGACACCTAAAGACCATTTGAATCTCTCTCAAAGGACATTGTGTGAGTCAATGCAACTGTGCACGTGATTTTATATATGTTGCTCTGCATTACAAGGAGTAAAATTCTTGTTCTTTACTGATAATCTGTGTGGCATATTTTTTTTCTCTGACAAGACAGTGTGTGGACTGGTAAAAGTGTGAACTACATGTGATCTTCATTCTGCCACAACTGTCACAGCCTTAAAAGGTTCTATTATTCTATTTCAGCTTTTATCAGTGTTATTCAGCTATACAAATATTAATACTTCTTTTAACTCTCCCTACATAAAACTGTAATAAATAAAAGTGAAGGAGGAGGAAAGAGAAAGTAAAAAATACATAACCAACAATATACTTTAAGTGGTGTATTACCACTTAAAGTATATTGTTGGTTATGTATTTTTTACTTTCTCTTTCCTCCTCCTTCACTTTTATTTACACCACTGGAGAAATTACACTGCTTAGCTGGTATTGCACCACCTGACATCCGCCGGGAAGTAGCAACCAATAGTGAAAGGACCAAGGCAGAGACATCTTCAGCTCATCCCTTGTTTGGGCATCAGCCAGCATGCCAATGACTTAAATCAAGAAATAGTTTTCTAAGATCTACAGAGACACTCGCTGGAACACCTTAGCAAGCGAGAGCCCAAAAGTGGCAGGCTCAATCCCAGAGCCTCAATCAATGGCTGATACCCAATGAGAGACTCCCCCTGGGCACACAGAAGCCTGGGCGACTTGGAAGGCCCTGAACAGACTGCGCTCTGGCATCACGAGATGCAGAGCAATCTCAAGAAATGGGGCTACAAAGTGGAATCCATGACATGCGAGTGTGGAGACCACACTGGCCACCTGCTGCAATGCAACCTGAGCCCTACCACATGCACAATGGAGGACCTCCTTGCGGCAATACCAGAAGCACTCCAAGTGGCCAGATACTGGTCAAAGAACATTTAATCAACTACCAAGCTTGCAAACTCTGTGTCTTTTGTATGTTTGTTTGCTCTGTCAAAAATGTAATACAACTGTTTGGTTGCCTGACATGATAAATAAATAAATAAATAATTTAAGTACAGAGAGAACAGAACTTGGATAAAATATGTAGCTGGATTACATTATTAGACTAGATTCTGGGCTTTGCAATACAAACAAAAGTATGTTTTCAAGCTCTTATAGGAAGCTTTTTTGCAAGAGTTTAGATGACTGGCAAATCTGAATGGTGGGAATCTTATGGCCCTTGGGGTATCATTGGTCATTTGGCTCTTAAAGAGAAGACTGCGACAAGTTCTAGCTTGACCATATGTGGAAGGCCATGCAGTTGTCAGCCCTGACCTATTGAATTCCCTATTGTGAACATTCACTGATTTTATCTAGGAGTCTTCCTTCCCAGGGCTACTTAAAAAGACCACACATCATCTGGATGCAGGGGCAGCTGGAACTAACCATCTCAAGCTATTCCAGGTTCAATCTGAACATTCAAGGAGCTATTCAAGGGACTAAACCTAATTTGGAGATAATTTTCAGCACCTTGGAAAGCTTTTCAAAAAGATCAGAAAAAATGCAGAATCCACCAGATGGCACTAGTGATACTCTACTAGCTAATGCCCTATTCTTCAACAATAGTCTTTCAACCATATCGTTTTTGGAAATATAGTTCGCACTCTGCATTTCCTGACTGCAGAGAACCCTATGAGAGTAATAAACCATGATTTAACATATTGCAATATTGCTGGAGAGCACAGCTCTCTATAAAGCAGCATGTCTCTATATTCAACCTTTGCTCAAAGCTGATCATATAGTCACATTGGAGGACCTGGAAATCCTGGAGAGAACATTTTAATCAAGTACATGAATAACCAAATCCACAAAAGACAAGCTTCCAAATATGGAGGGCCAAATGTACATGCGTATTTCAAAAGAGCGTGACTGCTACTGACACACTGACACAAATGGCCTTCACTGCAGAGAGGAAAAGGATGTGGTGTAGAGTGAAGGTGAAGAGGCCTTGGCTTTTGAAGCTTTTAGACTTGGTTCAGCAAGGACATCTTGTATGTATTATGAAGGACTGACATTTATATGCTACGTGTGGGGAAGTGTTTGTGTTTTATCTGCACTCCCCCACCCACATCATGTCAGCGCTTCACAAGCAAAATCCTTTCTCTGTGTATATTGTTTCCTATTACCTGTGCTTTTTCCTCTCTCAACCCAAACCTAACACAATGTGCTAGATTACATTTGACAGGAGAGGACTTAGCCGCTGGTCAAATTGACTGCAGAGTATGGATGCTGTAGTTCACCTGGAATGAATTCTGTTGAGGAAGATTAGGTGATCATTTTTTAATATACTGACTCATAATGTGCAGCCTGTTTTTATGTGGAGTTGAGGGAGGATATTTTTCTTTGCAGTTCTTCATTTCACATGAGGTTACAGTCTTGGATTTCCTCGAAAGAGGAGCTGGAATAATTGCAAGACTCAAAGTTCCTGCAATAAATGCTGCAAGTTGCAACCACAAAATAGACAGGAATAAAACTTGCTCATTAAATATAGAAGCCAGTGAAAAGACTGGTTGGAAACAAACCTGGAGTTTTGGGGAGAGGACTTGATCTGTAACATAAGAACAGCTATAAATGAGAAGAGATTGAAACAGTGGAAATGGAAGGCATTTAGATACTGTATAAGCAGAGATCATGGTCTCCTGATACACTCAAATACAGGTTCTTATCACATTCATTTCCCACTTCAACTGAATTTATTTCCAGGTGAGCAGAATGTCTTGCTTTTCATCTCAAAATTAATAGACCAGCTGCTTCATAGATTCATATCTTCTTACACAACTGCCCAAAAAAGTGAAGGGGGGCATGTTAATCTATTTCAGCCCAAAGGTATATAAAGGAATCCAATAGCATCGGAGATTGGCTGAAAAACAAAGGGAAATTGTCACATAAGCCTTATGCTAGAAATTTCTTTTTCACAATTATCATCAAAACTGATCCTTTATATCTCTTTTTTTAAAGAGAGTTGACATGCAGGGAATAGTGAACTGACAGAGGACAGCAGTGTAGTAGCAGACCTGACTTTGGATGGAGAGAACTGGGTTCCGATCTTTTTTTTTGCCAT